GTATGTTAGACAAAGAATGCATATAGTCAGTTATAGCATTTATACATGTATTTTATACATGCATATAGTTAATTATAAATACAGAAATAAATAAAATAAATATCAAATACAATATTGAATATAAGCCAAATCATGTGACCAATCATATTATATATAACCTAAGATTTCCTGTTACCTCCTACCACCTAAAATATTAGGTAATATATGTCACTGCCCTAATTGTAAAGCTTACATTTAAAAAAGAAAATTTGATGTATTTTGTTTCGCATTTTTATAATAAAAATTTTATTTATAAAAATATACGCTTACTTGTCTTTTCTTAAAATTTTAAAAATGAGTCATCAAACCTATTTTGCTAGCCTTAAATTTAATAAAAAATTAATTTATGATTCACCAACTAATAAATATCAAAAATTTATTAATGTTTATATATATAGTATTATGGTAAAAATAGAAAATATAACTCTAAATTATGCTATTATTTATCATAAAATTGCAACAGAATGGAAAAACGTTAAAAGTAAAAGTGATACAAAAATTAACAACATTATTAAAGAATATATGATTATATTAATTAACATGTATATCATTCCAATACTAAGAGCAGACCTTTCTAAACTTATAGTAAAACCAACTTCTCTAACTTCCTCTCTTCTTATTATTAATCCAGTTGAATCTACAATTGAAATCTTTAGGAATGTAATAGCTCAAAGAAAGTTATTAAAAGAAATTAAAACATCCAAAAACAAACTATTTAAATTAAAACAAATTTACAATATTATCACTGATGCACAGATTCAGCATAACATATATGTAAAAATAGAGATTAAAAAGGAATGCAAGATATGCTTAAAATTGTAGAGCAAAGAAACTTAAAATACTTATGAAGAATAAGGAGGTTATCAAATATGATAAATCAGGTTGTTCACAACTTCTTTTCAAATATCCAGACTTACACAATCAGATTTATGACTTAGTTGAATTTGGATCAGCTGATTCAAAAAAAGAAAAGAAGTAATTAAAGTATAAATCATTGAACATTTACATAAGAATTTAGAAGAAAAATATAATATTTATATGGCATGAATAACGTTAAACAATTATCTTTTACCTTACCAAGCTAACTCAATTATCACAAAGACTCATTATCATCTAGCATAGGTCACTGTAGCTAAAATTTTACGTACAGATACTTGAGAACATTCTGATAGACATTATTGTCTTGCATCTGTCAAATATATAAGACAATTTGCTTCTATATTTACCAATGTATTTATTATTATTTTTCAGGATAATAAAATAAAAGTGGGTCTTGAAATACTTGCAATAGGTCAAACATTTCATACTTTATAATCAATTAATAATCTTATATCTGTAATTGATCACGATTTTTCTATAGGAATTGAATAGAAACTAATTCTTTTAGTATACTTAATAATAAAACTAAATGATTTAAAAGATGAATTTCAAATAGGACAATTTGCAATATTTATACATCTCTAATGACCTATTAGTATATTTTCACTTACATATACAGTCAACTCTAGATATAGCGAACTCTTGATATAATGAATTTTTTGAACAAATATAATAAAAATACTCTTGTTATAGCGAATTGGCCAATCAAATTTTTTAAAATCTTTACTATAGCCTTATAGCGAAGTTGAGGTCTAGGACATTGAGTTTATTATAATAAAAGTCAACTATATGCAGAATTTGGAAAGTCTTGTTGCAAATTCTCAATATAATGATATGTTGAAAGCTAATAGGCAAATTCATCTCATTTGGATATTATTATTGAATAGTAGATCAGATGAGAACTCTTGACATTTAAAAAATATAAAGGTATATTGTCAGCTCTTTAAAAAGTTTAATTTATATTATCTGAGTATACGAACGTATACTTTAGGATAATCCAAATACAATCCTATAGAGAAAGGTATGGTGATATTATCTGAAAACTTGCTGGTATCATATTATTAATTGATCACTTTAAAAAATATTTGGATTTATAAGATAAAGTCACGAATCCTGAATTGGCTGCTTAAAATTTTCAATATGCTAGAGAGATTTTTTGTGATCTTTAAAGTCATAATTCAATCTTCATAAATATGTTAATACTCAGTATGTTGACACATTTACAAATCTATTCAAAAATTGCAATTTGAAGGTACAGAAAAAAAAGGTCAAAGAATTAAAAAACAAGAAAAGCAAAAATAAAAAAATGTAAAAAATACTTACCTTATTTGAATCTTTTATTTTATGGTTTTGGATTGAAAGATATTGTAATTTGTGTACATATTCCATTAATATTAAAAGATGTAAAGATATGAATTGTTGTAGATCACCTAAAGCTAAAAAGGAAATGGAATTTCTTGAAAGTTACAATAGTTTTTTACCACCTATTATTAAAGCTAAAGATGGATATTTTACAAATTCTATCTATCTGCTCTAGTATTATGATCTCTTAAAAATTCTAGATTACGATGCTTATTACATATCTTTTAAAAAAGACACATATTCACGTCTTTGTTGTTCTATTTGTCAAAAGTACTTTCCTACCCTTACCTTTCTAACTAATCATAGAAAATAACAAACTCTACTGCTTGAGAATAATCAAAAGTACCAAAAGCATAAACTAAAGACTAAAATGAATGGAATTCAATAGTATTTGATGACTTTTTCCTTTTATTTTTATGAACAAAGTATCCTATTCTATTTGTATATATTTAAGAAGAAGAGTGAAACACATATTACATATATTATAGCATTGAATAAATGAAACTTTCTTAATTTTTTAATTTCTTAGATTAATATAATATAATCTAAGCCACATTAAATTATGTGATACATATATAAAAGTATAATATAAGATATATTTAAGAGACTCCTGCAACCCTTATATCCCAAAAAATATTACATAATAAATATCATAGTCTTTATTAAGATCTATTAAATAATTATATTTTTATATTTCTAAAATCAATAAATAGCAAGATATATAAATTTAAATTTAAAATTTTTTTTATATTAATTTATTATATATTTATCTTTAAAATATTATTAATTAATTATATTTTTTTGAATTTTACTTAGAATATATCATAAAATTTATTATAAAAATATTAATTTTTAAATAAGTTATTTTAAAAATATTTAAAATTATTAAATAAAATTGCTAGAAAATTTGCTTGTAATATACTTGAAAGAATAATATTATTATAATTGCATTTAGACTATTAAATCAAGTAATAATAATATAATAAATAGCAGAAAAATAAAAAAATATTTTAAAAATATAGTCAACTCTAGTTATAATGAATTCTATGTTTTAGATCTCAACTTTACTATAAGGCTATAGTGAAGATTTTAAAGATTTGATTGGCTAATTCACTATAATAAAAGTATTTTTATTATATTTGTTTAAAAAATTTGAGTTTATTATATCAAGAGTTGACTATAAGAAAAATAATAAGTTTAATTAGAAAGAATAGAAAAACTAATATAATTAAGTTAGAAAATTAAATTATAATGATTATATTTAGGTTATTAAATTAGGTTATGAAATTATAAATTATATCGATATTATTTAATTATAATCAAATTATTTATATATATATGATATTTAGTTATAAATATATTTGTTATAATCAGATTATTTATTATAAGTAAAGATAGTACCTCAATTAGTTATAATAAGTGACAAATAAGAATAAACATCATAATATTATAATTAATTGTAATATTATTAAAAATCAAGTTGTAACAGATAATAAATAAGTATCATAATATTACAATGTTATTTTTAGTTATAGGTGTATTATTTAGTCATATTTAGATTATTATATGATTAAATAATCTAATTTAAGCCAATTATAATTAAATAATATAATTAAGTATTTGATTATAATCAGCTAAGAATATAATAAAATTATTTAATTAAGAATAGTAATAACATTTTAAAAAGAGTATCTTTTTATATTGCAAGTTTTTTATTTATATTCTAAATTATTTTTTATAATTTATTAAATGAAAAAATTATAAAAATAAAAAATCTTATATAAAGTTACTTATCTAAATTTATTTTGAATTTAACAAAATATCTAAACCTTTAATTTTGTTAATTTTTAATAAAGTTTTAATATGATTTTGCTATTTTTATATAATTTTACTTTTTGAGTTTTATAGATTTTTAATAAGATTTTGTAAAATTTTACAATTCAAACAATTTGCAAAAACTTTAAAGTTTTGTTTAGTAATATTAAATTTATATAATAATAAATATTTCTTTAAAAATATATATAAAATAAAAAAAATGTAAAAAATATTTAGATTTTTTAAAATAATAAAAAAATGCATTATAAATTTAACTAAAATATTATTATTTACGTTAATTTTTATTAGATTATATTATTTATTTGATAAAATTTATTTTTAATTAAATATTTAATAAAAATATATATATAATAATCAATAATATATTTTTTGATAAATAATATAAATTATATTTGTAAATAGATAATAAATTTATATAAGTAATTTATATTATTTATATTATTTATAATATAATATACCATAATTATTTCTCTTAAATGATTTTGCTTACAAATTTACTTGTAATTTTATTTCTAGCGTCAGTAATCTTTTTTTAATAAATTTAAAATATGTAATATGTAATATACTTACTATAATAGGAAATTTAGGACAATAATGAATTTAAAGGTATAGATTGACATCAAAAATTTGCGCCCAATGAGGAATTTTTGACCTTAAGGGTGACTTTATACGTGTATATGAAGGCTGCATGTTCAACTTGGCAACAAAAACGCCTCCGAGATCAACTAATTTACCAGTGAGTTTTGCTTTATTATTTTTGTTATTATTTAATGACAGGTAACGTAACCTTATAATACGTATACTTTAACGTAGTTTTTACTGGTTTTTAGATCTAAGTCGAAATTTATTTTGTTATAACTGATTTCGAGTAATTAACAATCACAATGTCTGATGCTGATGACGTTACAATGATCGAGGACACAGAGAATTTGGATCTCGAGTGGCATTGTCAGTTAATTAAATGTTTGAATGGTTTTTTTTATCTTCTATATATTCAGTTATAAAATAAAATTATATTTAGGCACAGACAATGGTCCTTCAGAAAGAAAACGTTCTTGGCACTGGGTGAGTATTTATCTGTCAAATTAATACTTTAATAACACGTTGAATATTAATCTTGTTATACATTATCTTTTTAGCTCCGTGAGGTCACTGCCCAAGACGCCGATAATGGAATGGATGTGGTAACTATCTCTCGTGTTGTCAGTTTTTTTTTTTTATCTAACGCGTGTTCATTGAAAATGATTTACTTTTACCAAATTCTAGCAAGGAATTACCTGGGACGCCTTTAATGTAACGCGTCAAAGATATCGCGAACTTCGGTTCGTTCTTTTTTCGTTTGCTACATCACAAATATTTATATTTAATAATTATTAACCAATATCGATTCTATTCTTACGTAGCCTTTTAGATTATAAGAACTACGAAAATGTCCCGAGATCACATGATGAATTAAAGAAGGTTTAGATAGTTTGTATTTATTTAATTTGTTTTCATATACTTTAGATTATATTAAAAATCACGCGATTTATTGTTTTTTCCAGGAAATTAAATCAGTTCGAACCGACGCACGATTTTACAAATTTAAATATACCACCTTATCACACAGATGCTCTATTGTTCATTTTCAATTGCGAAATTTGCTTTGGGCAACTGGAAGAAATGATGTATTCTACACACGTAAGCATTCATTTTTCTAAAAAAAAAATATTTTCATTCAAATCATTAAATGGTATACCGTTTACCATTGATTTGTAGATTCATTTCGTATTGGTCATTGGAATTCGATAATGAAAAAATCAAAAGTTGCATTAGATCTGAACAATAACAATCGTAGTGCTGAAACACTATTTGAAATTAGCACAATTGCCTGCAAAGACAATTATCTTCTTGTTGGAGGTATTACATCAAATTCTGGTAGCATTATACCGTTTTACGTTACAATATGACTAAAATTAAAATATTACTCAGGATTATATGGTGAATATGCATGCAGACGTCTTGATGCAGAACCAGTTCAATATGGAACTATAACTAATGATACAAATGGAATAACAAATCACATGGATATCATTGAATCACGAACCGGAAGTAAGTTTATTATTTTGAGGAAATTTTCTAATTTTATTATGATTCGTATTTTTAATTAATTATGTTATATGCTTTAAGGTATTGTTGCAGTGATATCTAGCAATGACAAAAAATCGAGAATTATGGATCTTGCGACAACGAGATTTATAGATACTTATGATTTTGAATGGGCTGTTAATGTATGTTTTCGGAAACAATTCATCATTTGAAATAATGGATTCAATCTTAACTGTTTTTTAATGAACAAATAGTGTACTTCCGTTAATCCGAACAAAGATTTACTGTGTGTTGTTGGAGATAATACGGATACGGTGGTTGTAAATGCAGATACGAAAAAGAGTTTGTTATTTTATCTAATTTAATAACTGTTTTCCATCTATTAAATTCTAAAAGTTATTAAATATTTAAATTTTCTTTAATAGCTGTAGCAACTTTAAAAGGGCATTTTGATTATTCTTTTGCTTGTTGCTGGAGTCCCGATGGAAAAATTATTGCAACAGGGAATCAAGGTACTTTATCTCATTATAATTACTAACTATCATATCTTTCGCACTTGTAATGATTAGTAACTTTCCAATACTATTTGATTTACAGATAAAACTACTAGGTAAATTAATTAGCTTCAGTTGTTTTCAGGAATTTATTTTACCATTTTAATTAAATTGTTTATAATATATAGGCTATATGATATACGAAATATGTCTAAGGCTTTCAATGTGTTGGGTGCTAAAATTGGTGCTGTAAGATCCCTTCACTTTTCTGAAGACGGACATTATTTGGCTATGGCAGGTTAATATAATAATGATTCCTTTTTAAAAAAAGAGAATTTATATTGGAACGTTTGTTTTGAAGACATACCAATTTTTTTTTATTTAGAACCTGCTGATTTCGTTCACATATTTGATGCACATACATTTGAACAATCTCAAGTTATTGATTTATTTGGCGAAATCGCTGGTGTAACATTTACCCCTGATACGGACGGTTTATACATAGCAAATGCTGATGAAAATTATGGGTTTGTGATTGATTATTTGGATGATTTTTATTGTAATTTTAAATTACCAACAAATTTAATAATATTTCTTCTATCATATTAGATGTATTTTGGAATATGAAAAAAGTCCCTCAATTAATGATATTGAAAATATTTTCCTATAATTCATTTTTATTAATTCCTAGGCTGAGGACATTTAACTAATTTAGGAGAAAATTACGTTTTAAATTGCAATTGTAAAATACTAACAGTTATAATTTCGCCTTTTTTATCTTTTCTTTCAATATTATCAATATATTCATAACATTTCAAATTGTTATTAGCCAATTTTTTTTTTTTTTTACTTTATTAGTCAATTATCATATTTTATTTATTAGGCTTATAAGTTAAAAAAATTTTTTTTGGCAAACATTTGCTTTGAATACATTATTTGTATTAAGAGAATTGATAAAATATAAGAAAAATATATAAACAATTTGTAATACAGAAACTTTATATGGTAATTCTATTTGTTAGTATTAAAATATATATATATTGTATATATATTTTTTTAAAATAAATATTAATAAATATTAAATTATATCTTAAATTTGAATTATTTTAATACTATTATAATATTATTTTTTAGATTATTTAGCAGGCAAATTTGCTTTAAACTTAAATAATATAATTTTAAAATTAAGTTTAAAAAATTATTATAATAATTTTTTAAAATTTCATATTTACAAATTAATTAATCATTTTACTATTAATAAAAATTATAAAAATTTTTAATAAATTATAAAAATTGTAATAATTAAAATTATATTTTATAATAAAATTTATAACTTTAATTTTTATTATTGTTATAGGAAGATATTGATCCAAAAAATCATATGACATATGTGACTAAAAGGCATATTGACTGCATCATGTTAGATAATGAAGATGGCAAAGACGAGAGAAATGAATTAAACAAAAGTTACGCAAAAAATCCAGAAGTCGCTGAAAAATTCTATTATATTATTAATCATTTTATATTATTAATCATTTATTATTTATAATCAATTAGTATTTTATTTATTT